TGTAAGAAGTTATGCTGCAATCTCAAAGGGACACAGTTCTGATCCACCAGCTGTTCTGGAAGAGAAGAATGGACAATCTCATCCCATGTGATTAACTGCCTCTGAAAACCCACCAGCTATGGGCTGGTCCCGACTCGATGGTACACAACAACAACAACAACATAGATTAAATGTAGAGATCGATACATTTATATTGGAAAGTCAATAGGCTGTAAATTGGGCAATAATTTCCAAGCTGGAAAAGCATTGAGCACAAAAAGCTCATGATGAGTTTTGTTTGCTTATTTGTTTTTTAAAGAGGTAAGAGTCATACGTAGCAAGGCAAATGCATTTGATAGGGCTGAAAGGACTTGTTTTCCAGTTTTGAGTATTATACTATGAACTGTTGCACACATCTTCACATTTAAGACATCTAACGTAATCACTGTTGTGAGGTGCCATCGATTGAGGACAGCTCAACGCGACCTGAACCTCAGCCTATCCTGTACCATTCTCATCAGCCCTGACACTCTGGAGCCCGTTGCTGCAGTCCCTGTGCCACTGCATCTTGTTCCAGGTGTTCCCCTCTTTCACCGATCCTCCACCTTTTTAAGCATGATAGACCCCTTCCTATCAACATGCCTAAAGTATTGGAGATGAAGCTTGCCATTCTTGCCTCCAAGGAGCACTCAGCCTGCTACGCTACTCCAAGACATCATCTGTTTGTTCCTTTGGCGGTCCTTGGGGTATTCAGCACTCTCCTCCAATACCACAGCTTAAATGCATCAATTCTTCTCCTGTCATCTTTATTCATTGCCTAGCCTTCAGATGCAGAGCATAGACTAGCTAATGGGCTTCTTAACTTGTAGGTGGATGTTGCACATAAAGAACACGTTCTTTATCATATTATATTGCCTGTAAAACCATGCAGGTTAATGAGACATTTGGTGGTTGTCTCTGAAATTACAAACCGCACTGCATGCTAAGATCCTGTCTAGTTGGGCAATGGAGCACTTCAGAAGTGGTGCTTGAGGAAAATATTACACATAGTTTTATAAAGGATGACATTTTTAATGCCTCCCCCCTGGAGATAGCTGAGAACAAAGCTGGAATGTGCCAGATCTTCAAAGGTCCCAGTCATTTGAAGAGAACCTGTTTCATATTTACATTTCTAGGAAGCCAAATTTTATGACTCTTGAACACTTTGCACGGAAATCTCTCCACACATTTATGATATTCCTGTAGCCCTAACTATCTCCCCCCACCCCGCCCTCCCTTCAGGCTGACAGATTGCTGGTCAGAAGGCTGGCCCCCAGGCTGGACGAGGACAATGGAGCGACCCCAGAAGCCAAGTATCCTTCTCACTCTGCCCACCCCCTCATTTCTATAGAGCCTGCTTGTGATTGCTTGTCTCTTGGCAAGAAATGTTTTACTTGTTTCAGCTTCATAAAACAGAGCCATTATTTGTACCACTTCCCTGTCTGTTTTAGAAGCAAGGGTGTTCTTCACTAGCTGGTTAATGGGTGTGGATTCTGGTGGGTGGTAGAGGTGTGCAGCAGGCTTTTCCAGGTAAATGGCTTCTGGTTGACAGCTCTTCCTGTCGTCTGTCCTGAGCGAGGCAGACAGCTAGGGATGACTGATCCACAATTCTAGACTTGCAACAATTCCAGAGTCACTGAAGGGCTGTGTTGTTGTTAGGTGTTATTCTAGTCAAGTATGACTCATAGTGACCCTATGAACAACAGATACAAATCCTGTGCCATCCTCACAGTCTCTGACACATTGGAGCCCATTACTGTAGTCACTGTGTAAATCCACTTGGTTGAGGGCTATCCTCTTCTTTGCCGCCCTTTCTAACCAGGATGTCCCTTTCTAAGAAATAGCCTTTCCTACTTACACGTCCAAAGTGTGTGCAACGGGACTTCACCATCTTTGCCTCCAAGGAGCACTCTGTCTGCACCTTCTCCAAGACATACTTGTTCTTTTGGAAGTCCTTGACATATCCAATACTGTTCTCCAACACCACACTTCAAAGACATCAATTTTTCTTTTGTCATCCCTATTCATTGTCTAGCTTTCAGATGCATAGCAAGAGATTGAAAAGACCATAGACCAAATCAGGTGCACCTTATTCCTCAAGCAACACCATTGCTCCTCAATAATTTGGAAAGTCCCCTGATTACAGACTTTCCCTGTGCAATACGTCTCCTGATCTCCTGAATATTGGTACCAAGTGTGTATTGATTGTGGATCTAAAGAAGATGAAGTAATTGACAGTTTCAATCTTTTTTCCATCTACTATGATCTGTCTATAGATCCAGTGGTGAGATTTTTTTGTTTTCTTGATGTTGAGATGTAATGCATATTGAAGGCTGCAGTGTTTGAACTTTTGCAGCAAGTGCTTCAAGTCCTCTCACTTTCAGCAAGCAAGATTTTATCATTTGCATACCAAAGGTTATTGATGAGTCTCCCTCCAATTCTAATACCGTTTTATTCTTCATAGAGTCCAGCTTCTTCTTTTTTTTTTTTATTATTTGTGTGTGTGCGTGTACCGTCAAATCAGATCTTACTGGTACAGGAGGAGATTGTCCCTCCTTTCCCGACAGAGCATCTGGTGGATTCGAACTGTGCTCCTCTGGGATTGCAGTGCAGCTTCTTGCCACTAGGCCACCAGAGCTCCCCAGAGTCCAGCTTCTTGAATAGTTTGCTAAGTGTACAGATTGAAGAGGTAGAAAGGATACAACGCTGACATACTTCTTAATTTTAAACCATGTAGTATTCCCTTGATCCGTTAGCACAGCTGCCTCTTGGTCTAGGTCTAGGTTTCACATGAGTACGATTAGTGTTCTGGAATTCCCATTCTTCTCAACATTAGCTATAATGTATTATGATCCACACAGTCAAATGCCTTTGCATAGTCAATAAAGCACAAGTGGACATTCTTCTGCTCTTCTCTAATTTCAGACAGTGTCCATCTAACATCAGCAATGATATACTTGGTGCCACGACCTCCTCTAAATTCAGTTTGAACTGTTCCAGCAGGTTTTGATTGTCAGCAGTATATTGCCTGTGTGTGATGATAATGATGATGTTGTTGTTGTTATGTGCCGTCGAGTCGCTTGCGACTCCTAGCGACCCTATGCACAACAGCCCTAAACCCTGCTCTATCCTCTGCCAGTCTCACTGCCTCTGACACACCCATCCCGATTACCCCAGTCACTGAATTGTTTGATAATTTCCACATTCTGTTGGATTACTTTTCTTGGGACGAGCGACAAATACGGAATTTTTTCCATTCGAGGTGCTATGAGCAGTGTTTGAATTCTCTTCTGCTTTTATTTTCAACAAACATGGTGGCTCTGTGTTTAGAACACCTCTTCCTCTCCCTCCCTGGAGTGGCTGTAGTGTTAGTCTGTCCCTCACTTGTAGACTCTGCTCCATTTTTTCTTCAGTCATCATCATCTTTGTGCTTCTCTTACCCCAGTGCTGCCCCTCATGTCAAAGCCTTGATATAGTAACCTCTCTATTCCTCACAACACCTAGCACAGGACTGCTGTTGTTTTTAGGTTCTGTCTAGTTGCATGTGACTCACAGCAACCCCATGAACAAGAGGTGGAAACCTGGCCCTAACTTGCACCAACCTCACGATCTCATCTATGCACAAGCTCACTGTAACAACAGCCGCTGTGTTGACCCATCTTGCTGGAGGTCTTCCTCTCTTTCTCTGACTCTCCACTTTTCCCAGCCAGACATCTTTTCTTTTTGCAAGGACTGGTTCATCCTGACAACAAGTTCAAAGTATGAGAAGCAGAGTTTCACCATCAGAGCACTCGGGTTGCATTTCCTTCAAGACAGATTGTTTGTTCTCTTGACGGTTCATGTTATTATATTCAAGGTTCTTACTTAACCACCTTCAAATCTAAGGCATCAGTTCTTCCTCGATTATCCTCATTCACTTTCAAACTTTCAGATGCATAGGAAGCAATTAAAAATACCATGGCTTGGATCAAGTAAGCACACTTCAGTCTCTGAACTGACATCATTGCTCTTTAGCATGTTAAAGAGGTATTTGATGGCATATTTCCCCAATGCAACAGGCTTTCTCATCTCTTGCCTGCTAGTACCATGGGTGTTGACTGTGGACCAAATTCAGGCACGATGAGATGGAATTAACTTTACAGCAGTGGGTTTGATTTCTCTTGGTATGGTTTTTGGTTTCAGTTTATTAATTCTCTTTCAACTGCATCTGCTCTTCTGTTCAATACATCTCCTGAAGCTTCCCACCACTCCCCACCCCCCCAAAATAATGATTTCTTTTAAAATATCTTTACTTGATTCTTACAGGTATGGTTTCTTCTTTTTATCTTTTTGTAATCATTATTTCCCAGTTGTCCTGCTAATTTCACTTCTTAAGACCTACCCTCACCCTATTCTTAAGCCTCTTCTCTCATGGATCGAGCTTTCTCAGAGACTTGGGTGACTCTCGAGAACTCAGCTTATAAGAATTCAGGGCACGTCTTGGGCTGTGGAAGAAGCCTCTCATTAGCCTGTCCCCCAATTGTGTGCAGGACAGTTCTAGCTTGATCCAGAACCAACTGACTGCAGCTTCTATCCTGCTTCTGAGTATCATGGCCCAGTCCATGGCTCCTCTAGCACCCCTGCCCCAACCCTCCTCCAGAGATGCCTCTCAGTTTCTGATTCTTATGAGTTCCCTTTCTTGTTTTAGAGAATGGATGTATGTTATTTCATGTTTACTATCATTCTAATCACTTGCAGGGGCTTAAATGTGGGCATAGAGATTTTATATGTTTGATCTGCAAACAAGAAAACAGAAGCATAGGAAGGATGTGCAAATTAGCAGATGACTACCAGCCAGGTATCCACAAATCCAGGAAGATAGCCAGAAAGATAGGAAGATAGTCTTCTGGGAGTTAAAGGGAAATGCCTTTTTCCTAGTAAGCACTGGCTTTAAATACCAACTTGCAAAAAAAAAGTCCAACTTTGGAGGTACCAAGTGTTACCTGTAGTGGCAAGGCCAGCGTACTCAGGGGATGGGTTGCTGACAGGGGAGGAGGGAGGTGGCACTTCCACAGATATGGCAGATTTTGCTGGAGAAAATGATGGCACTGGTGAAGGGGTTGGTGGGGCCGCCTCCGTCAAGATAATCTCTTCTTGAACTTCTGCTGTAGACAGAGAAGGTGGTGGCTTTTAACAGTCAAATTCAAGGCAAATTGTCTCAACACACTGCTGCTGAGTCAATTCTGACTCCTAGTGGCCCTATAGAACAGAGCCGAACTGTCCTTTGGGGTCTACAAGGCTTTCCATCTTCACAGGAACACACTGTCACATCTTTCTCCTGAGGAGCGACTGGTGGGTTGGGACCACCAATCTTTCCACTTGCAGCCAAGCATTCAACCTCCATATCACGAGGGCTCCTAAGTTGTCTTTAAGGAACTTAACCATGAAGTTTTATTTCCCTTCTCTGTCATGCTACTTAAAGCCCTTCAGTGCTTTCCCACCACCGTCATTACCCTAAAGGCAATTCCCATACGCACGCCTGCCCAGTCCAAAGAGGGAAACGACGTGATTCCTTCTCACATCATTTGAGCTGCTCATCAGAACTGAGCTCTTTGGGATGCAGAGTTAAAGAAGCACAGCGTGCAGATAGAAGACAACCAACGAGACCATCACATCGGGCCACTCCCAATGACTTGTGGGCTTACCAGTGCTGCCTTCGCCTTTCATGGCTCTCATGAGCTCATTGGCCCTCTCCTGACAGTGCAGGGATTCTAACAGGTAGAGCACGTAGTCATCAAACATCAAGTGGATTAGGTGGAAAGACCCTGTTGTGAGAGAGTATCCAGAGAGAACGGTAAGGCATGTCATCTCATGCAAGCCCCCTCTGCCTAGTCATAAGCACATGGCCCACTGTATTCTCAAGGTCAAGCTCCCTGCTGGATTATAAACTCTCTGGTGGCCTAGTGGTAAGAAGCTGCACTGCAATCCCAAAGGCACACAGTTTGAATCCACCCAACTGCTCTGCCAGAGAAGGATGGGCAATCTCCTCCTGTGCGATTAACTGCCTCTGAGAACCCACTGGAGGGGCAGCTGTGAGCCAGTTCCGACTCAACAGCATACAACAACAACAACAATGGTCAAAGACCTCTCTTCGTCACTGCATTCTCAGCCCAGCCTTGTGCTTGGTATAAGTTATGTGCCAATAACTGTGTGTGGCAAGGGAATCACTCCCCGCTCAATCTGTTAATGAAACACCATACAAATGACACCCACTGAGCCATCTGTCTGAAAGCTTTGGAGTTCTCACATACCCACACTGGGTTGGTCCCTTTGGAGCATGCTCACTTTGTTCAGCACTTACTACAAGTGCATTTCATCTGTATCTCTTCTAGAAGTGTATCTGATTTCACCCAGTCGGACTTTAAAGACGTCCATGGTTAGAGACTTAACTTCAAGTTCACTGGTAGCTCAACTTTTTTAACCGACCAATTTCATTTGTCAGAGAAATAGAGGAAAACTTCAGGGCGCTAGATTGACACGGTGACTGCAATGATGGGCTGTTAAGCATAGGAGAGACTATGATGATGGTCAAAGATCAGATAAGAGTTTTGTTCTGTTGACCATATAACAACATGAGTGTTTATACATGAGTTGCAGTTGACTTGACAGCACCCAATAACAACAACAACAACACTGTTTAGTCTCTACAGCTATCTCGTATGGTATCTATTTTTATTCCTTTATTGCTGGGAAAGTACTCATACAAGATGATCCATCTTCCTTATAGGTCATGCTGCCATCTGTGGACAATGCAATGGACTACACCTAACAGAGGCTCAGTTGAGGTCAGCTGTAATCAAGGTCCCTTGGATGACACAGAGGAAGGAGTTAGCGCTCATCCCCAGGTTGATGTTTCCATCCCCGTGTGCGGATATCCTGTTGCCCCATGAAGTGTCCAGGACTCCTCACTTACTTCTCCCTTCCAGCCTCCCTCTTAGCTAGCTTTTCTCCACCTTTATGAGACTATCATTACTTTGATTCCATCATTGTCATGGCCATCACACCATTGTCATTGTCATCACTCACCATCATCCTCATCACAGTCACCACTTAGTTAATGCTTACTATGTACCGAGAACTCTGCTAAGCACTTAGCAAACTCCCATCTCACCCTTACGACAATCTGCTATGCATGTGGGATCGGCTGCCTTTCTATGTGCGGAAGCATCTCTTCCCCAGGAATAAATAAGTAGGAATCTGCCTGGTTTTGCTTTAGCCACACACTGTTTCTGTTCAACCACCATTCATCTGTCCAATTTCATCACAGGACAGATGGGAAAATAAGGCCTAGAAGGCCCAAAAGACTTGGTCCTGGAAGCACCATTTGAATTGGAAACTACACTGCTCCAAGTTGCAGAAATAAGGTTAGGGGGTTAAGTTGGAGGCATCTATAGGACTCTTCCTAATGGAATTTATCTATTTTCTCCTTCTGAATTCCATTTTGTGTTTGTACTTGCCTGATACACACTTAAATGCTTAATGTCAGATACATGAATTTGTACTAGGAAGGTTACTGAGGAAAACCTGTTCCTTGATTTCAAGGGCATTACATGGCCAGCAGGTCATGCACGTATACCCTCTGATGAAACACAGCCTACAATCCTTGTGCCCACAGAGTTCAAGTCAAAGGTGGTCTATCCTTGAACTCCTTCCATTGGCTTCTTGTATCCCAGGGTGGTGATGTCCATGTTCCCACCACCCCCCCCATCTGAAATTCAGCAAGGCTCAGATTCTGGTGCATCATTGTGAAATGCAGTTTCCAAAAGTAAATGTTCCACTTCTTGCCCCACAGATGGGTCCTGAGAACCACTGAAATCATACAACAGCGGGTGCAATTATAGGGTCAATTGCTACTTCATAACTGGGACTTGACTTCATCACTGTAATTCTTGTAAATCTTTAAAATGTAACTGAACATTTATCGAACCCTAGTCCTGTAACAGCCACCACACCAGGCACTATAAACTTATTGTTTGTATTTCATTCTCATCACAATTTAGAAGATGGGTAATATCCTTTTACAGATAAAGAAAGTGAGACTCTGAGAAGTTAAATAACAGAACCAAGACTTAATTTCAAGGTAGTCTGATTATGAAATTGCTCCTTAATCATTATGGAATATAAGCTCCCTAACATGAGGATAGCAGACCTACATCACAGACGCTCCAAATTGAGGGAAAGTACACAAGATGCTTAATAAATGGTAGCTTGCTGCTAAAACAAAAGTGCCTGTGTGATACATAGAGTTGACAGCCAAAGAGCCCAAATATGGCATCAGATACTTAACAGAAAGGGTATCCAAGATAAAACAAATACATAACTGGAAGCTAAGTCAAGAATGATAGAGAGAGAAGAATAGTATAAAATAATCAGAATGGTTTAGACTATAGGTAGACACATTGGAAACCATGTAGACAACTCGTGTTTTATAGACAAGAAAACAAGGATCAGAGGAGATTAAAAAATGTGGTGAAGACCACATGGTTAAACGTCAGTGGTGGGACTGGAGGCCAGGGCTGAAGGGAAAGTGAGGGTGGAGAGCTTTATTGGCCTTTGTTTCTGACTGTGGTCAGTTATACAGTTGATCTATTATATTCCCAACCATTCCTCGAATTTGTAGAACTTTGGCTGAAAATAGAACCTGCTGAATATTGTGCTGAGTGCTCTGAGTATGAAGGAAGCAAAATAATTCTCTCTCTGATGCTACGATGCTACAGAATTCATAGTGGTCAGAAATCAGTCATTAGGATTACTAGGTAGTTTAGTGCCAGGGGATGCGTGTGGGGTCTTGATCACAGGAACTGTGCAAATAAAAACAGAGACATAAAAAAAGAGGTAAAGAAAAACTGAGTGGAAAAGACAAACATCAAAGACACAAGAGGCAGTCGTAACTAAAACACTCCTACTTTCTTTCTCTCTTTTAACACTTGTCTTATATATTTAACTTTTGACACCAGCAGTCAGGAAATCAAAAGACATAGTGCATTAGGAAAATCGGCTGTTATGGACCTCTCCAGAGTACTGAGAAGCAATGACGTCAGTCTAGAGACTAAGGTGCACCTGATCCAGGTCATGGTCTTTTCAACTACTTGCTGTGCATCAGAGAGCTGGGCCATGACTAAGGATGACAGAAGAAGAATTGGTGCCTTTGAGTTGTGGTGCTGGAGAAGAGTATTGAACATACCATAGACTGCCAAGAAAACAAATAGGTCTGCCTTGGAGAGAGTGAAACCAAATTTCTCCTTGGGGGCTAGGATTTTGAAGCTCCATCTCACATATATTGGACATGTGGCCAGGAGAGACCTTTCCTTGGAGAAGGACATCATGCTTGGAAGGGTGGAGGGACAGCGCAGGAGAGGAAGACCCCAGATGCGATGGATTGATACAGTAACTGGGACAATGAGGGTAGGTGTATAGGAATCAGTGAGACTGGTTCAGGACAGGGCAGGCTTCAGAGCTACTGCTGTACACAGGGTCACCACGAGTTACAGGTGACGTGATGGAACATAACAACACAACAACATTTTATGTCTTACATGTTTATATCTAGAATGTAAACTACACAAATGCAGGGATTTTCATCTGTTTTGTTTGCTGGTTTATACCCAGGTTGCTCGAACAGTTCCAAGAGTGCAGGAGAAGTAGAACAAGTATTTGTTAAATGGACAGAACATACATTGGCCACTTAAAATATGCAATATAAACATCATAAAAAGATATTACTATTATTATTACTGCTGCTTTGTTGTGTCCTGTCAAGCTGAAACCAACTCATAGGTGATCCTCTAGCCGATTTTCAGAGGTAAGCAATCTCATGAGAGAAGACTGCACATCTTTCTCCCTTGCAGCAGCTGGTGGATTTGAACCTTATTCCTTTGGGCTGGCAGTACAATTCCTTACCCCTAAGCCACCAGAGTTTCCTTTATTATTATTATTGTCTCCAATTAACTCAAGGGGAAATGAAGGCTTAGGGAGTTCCAAGAACATGGCCAAAGTCTGAGAGCTAGTGAGAATCAGAGCCTATTATAAAATTAGAGCCAATAGGAAACTGTGGTGGTGTCACTGTATCCTAACAGTAATGGCACTGGGTAGAATCAATGCATTTCTGTTTGTTTGGTTTTTTTTTTTTAAAGAAAAATTTAAAATTGAAAAAAAAAACCCACACAAAGAAATGAAGAGGAATACCAGTATATTTAACTACTCAACTTTATAAATGTTAACATTTTACTATGTTTAAATGTAATATAAAAGAAAAAATGAAGAGAAAGCTGAAGTCCTTTGTGCCTCATGTTTATTTCCTTAATAGCCATTTATTGGTCAATCTTCTTCCCCAGTGATAATCACAGACTTGAATAGAGTTATTTCTTCTTCAGAAGTTTAATGCATTCAACTTCTAAGCAAAAGGTTGGGTGTTCGAGGTCACCTAGAGACTCAATATCTCCAACTTAGCCACTGAGCACTCACTCTGCACAGAGTGCAGTCAAACCATGAACCACAGAAATTGCCAGGGGTTGGAATTGCCTTGATAATAATGGTTTTTGTTCTGTTGTTTTGTGTGGTGTTTTAAACTAATTTTCCTGTTTTCAAATTTTATAGAAATCATGTCATATCTTATGTGGTATTCTACAACTTTATTTACTATCTGTAATTTAAAATATATCCACCTTGACACACGGAGTTCCAGTTCATTCATTTTATTAGCTATTGTTTGGCTAAACCATAACTTTTCCATTGTTCTATTGATGGCATTTATGTGGTTTATAAT